AGAGAGAGAGAGAGAGAGAGAGAGAGAGAGAGAGAGAGAGAGAGAGAGAAAGTATGCCACTGTCAACACAAAAACCTGTCACTCTACTTGAACAAAAGTCAGAGTCCAGTCTGAAAGTATTCAAAACTCACCAGAATTGGCAGGAGCGCATGGACAGCCCATCTTCCCGTTTGGTATCCTAACAGCTGGTACTGGCAGCCCTTTCCAGCTCCTGGCACATTTTCTCTCCCTCCCCCAATGTTACATGCAGCCCCATACAGCTTGTGCTGCCTCCAGAGGTACCTGATGCCAAATTCCCTTTTGTTTCATATTGGAGAAGAGCATCCCAGAACTCCCATTGTTGATCATTAACTGATTTGATACCTGATCATATTCAACTCTCCACTTGCTCATCGCATTCCAAGTGAACACTAGTAGTGATACACTGATAGTGATGGAGAGTCCTTTCGTTTTTTTAGTGTGTTGTTTTAATTTTTACCTGCAATGATTTTTTACCTACATTGTGTCTTTTCTTATATTTCACAGTAGCCATATTAAGATTTAGAAAAAAGTTTTTTATTTTGTTTTTGTTTTCATTTTTGTTTTTGTATTGTATTTTAGTGCCAAGTGGATCTTTACTGTGTGTTGAAGAATCTCAACATGCATAATGTATGGGCGAGACCAGTGACAGTTCAGATTAAGAATTAATGCTTTCTTTATTTCAAATACAACAAGTCATGCACTGTTATGGTTAGAGGGAAAAGTATACATTAAAGTCTCTTTCTGTTCCTCCAGGCCTTGTGGACCTGAGAGAACAAATGACCAAGTTAAAGCTTTGACACTGCACCTCAGGCATCAGGACCCTCTCCTCCAGACTGCAGATGCAGAGGTCTTTCTTCTTCCAGTGCAGGCCCCCAACTCACCAGCTCCATTAAGAGTCAGTCACGGTAGGAGCACCTGGGTGGCTCAGTTGGTTAGGTGTCTGACTCTTGGTTTCAGCTCAGGTCATGATCTTGCTCTCTGTGAGTTCAAGCCCTGCACTTGGGCTCTGTGCTGGCAGCGTGGGGCCTGCTTGAGATTCTCTGACTTCCTCTCTCTGCTCCTCCCCCATTTCACTCAAAATAAATAAATAAATAAATGTTAAGAAAAACAAGAGTCAGTCACGGCAGATTGTGGCAGAAGGGAAGGGCAAAACCCATCACAGAACACACCTAAGCACACACCCATATACATCCATATTAAACCGACCTCCCAACCCAAGAGAAAAATAAAACCTTCTCAGATAACTGTGACTATTTGAAAACTATGTCAAAGCAAAGATTATTCTTTCTCCTTTTTGGCAGTCAAATGCAATATTAAATCCTCATTCTTTTGTTTGTTTGTTTGCTTGTTTTGACTCTCTCTTTCTCTTAGCATGTCCCTCCTTCCATCCCTTCCTTTCTCTGTCATTGTGCTTCTCTCTGTCTCTCTACCTTTATGTCTCCCTACCTCCTTCCTTCCTTCAGTATATTTAACTGTCTCCTTATCTCTATTCCTGGTCATCTGTCAGTTTGTGTGTATTTTGTCTTTTTGTCATCTCTGTCTTTCCTTCTCCCTCTTTATTTTTCTCTTCTCTCAACTAACATAGACTTCTTGGGCAGAATTGATTGGGCAGAAGTCATCAGAGTCGCAGCTGTGGGTAAACACTTATGCTAACAAGCAGTCATCATCAGGATTCCACACTGAGGCAAGACCATTTCCTTTGTCCCAGATCAGTTATTTTGATCCTGTTATTTTAGTTTAAACTCATACTCAACCACAGTGATGTCACTGAGATTGGAGAGGGGTATGCCCTGCCCACCCTGGCCTAGAAGATGGCTTCTATACTTGAATTCTTAGAGGTACTCTAATTCTTCAGTTATTGTTTCTATCTCATTATTTGATAAATGGTTCTCAAAATTTTGGTACTTGGACTATGGACTCCCAAGGAACTTTTTGAGGGTCTGTTGAGTGAAAAGTATTTTAAGGGAAAACCAAGATATTACTTGCTTTTTCACTGTATCAGTAATTGCACTGGTTTTGCAAAGGCAATGGTAGGTAAACTTGTTGGAATCTGAATTCAAGGTGGTAACACCAAACTGGTGTTAGTAGTCATATATATTTATATTTATTTATATTTTACCATGATGTATTTAAAGAAAATGGTGACAGTTCACCTAACAGTGTCCTTGGTTAAGTAGTATAGATTATTAGTTTTATAACAACTTCTGAGTAAATATCCTTTTAATATTCTATGTGATGGCATGTGAAGTGTGCATAAATCACTTAAGCTGCAAACTGAAGTATGTGTTGTCTCAAGCAAAAGGACTTGTGTGATGGGTTGAATTGCAAGCTGAACTAAACCACTTTTTCACTTAACATCATTTTAATGTCAACGTTTGACTTTCAGTCAAACTAGAGTTCTTGAGACTTAGGTATGTGGTATATATTTCTCAAAAATAAGCAAAGCGACCTTGTTACTTCAAGGAAAGCAATCATTTGTATTTCTCTTTGTTGCCAGTGAACAAATTAGAGCTTTCAAGTGAAAATTAAAATTTTGAAAATCATTTGTATGCCACCCACACTTGACAACTTCCCAGTACTTCAAGAATTTTCTGATGAGATCGGTAGTGATATTAACCAATGTATTTTTTTGGTATTGTGTAATCAAGCTATTAATAATTTGAAGATGTGTATCATTGTGCCATTGGCTTGGGGCTCAGCAGACTGTTCACATTATAGTTCTAGGGCTCACTAGATATCTAAAATGTGACATATAATTTATCTTCAACTTCAGTCTTCCATCCATAAAATAGATCTAATATACTCCCTTGTCAAGAAGTTTATGATTCTTAAATGGATATATATGTGAAGATGGTAACACATTTAGGAACTCAATATACGTTATCACTCTTTTCATGAATATGTATTGTGATAACCACACCTGCTTCATAGGCCTTTTTTGGATATTAAATAATACATTAAATAGAAAGTATCTCAAAGACTGTTAGATTCTTCATTCTCTTTTCTCCTCTTTCTCCACCCTCTCTATCTTCAGCCTAAAAATTAAACATACATTCTATAACACAGACCACTCAGGAAAACAGAAATTATACCTGTTGTTTTTAACAAAGAAAAATGTAATCTAAAGATGGTTTACATAGATATTGGAACTTGGGAAGAGGCAAAGGGGGCGCTGATGTGGTACAGAGATGGGGTCACAGAAAGCAGCTGCACCTTTAGGGTGTGGGGAATGAAAGGAAGAATCAGGTTATCAGGAGGAGCCTGGGAGAGAGACCAGTAGCTCTGAGGGCCACACTTGGAGGTGGTGCTTTGCAGCCAGTGTTGAAATCTGAGAAGTTCAGCAGAGAGCTGAACGCTACTCTCACTCAAGAACTCTCAGGAGGGGATGCCAGCAGCCCAGTGCTGACACTTCTGAGATGACAGAATGAGCTGGTTCTGGAAGGTCTCGAAAATCTGTAGACAGAAACTGATTTCTGCTAACACAGTGAAAGGATGATTGCTAAGACAACACTGAAAGCCAATGAACATGAAGGAATAAGTCCCTTGTCCTCTTTCTCTTCCCCCCAATCTCTCTCCAGTGCTCCCTATTGCAGAACCTAACAGGTAGCCAGCTAGCAAAAGAGAAATGTGTGCAGAGAACCAGCCCCAAAATCTCATTGCAGACTAGAGAAGCTGGTTTGGGAGCTAGACGATAACAGCTTAAAACCAGACAGAATTCTTACCTGGACTGTAGTGAGAGGGAAATTAGAACAGCCCTCTTTGTTGAAAGTCTTTACCTGAAGTGAACCTATTAGGAGGACTTGAGATGTCAATATTATTTGGTGGACCCAGTGGACTAATTTTCATATCTAGTTTTCGGGAAGAGAGACTCAGTTATGCCATACAGTACAATTGTAATTACTGTTTTTGCAGAAATAGAAATCCAGGAAGCCGCCAGGAGAATGAAGCAACAGAATGTGTTCTAAAGTGACTAATTTAAAATTGATCACTGTGACATGCCTCCTTAAGCTTGAGATGTTTCACACAATCAGGTTTTCAGTGTTTTCGTTAGTGTGATTTGCATAACCAAGATTTTATTTTACTTTTTTAAAGAGGATTCTATTGTAATGAAACCAACATAGCTATTAAAGGGAGAGAGTTGGGCTGATGAATAAATGCTATTTCATTGTATTCTATGTGATTGCGGTGTAATTTTTTGCAATACATTTGACTTTATGTGTGTGTGCGTGTGAGAGAGCGAGCGAGAGAGCGAGCGAGCTAAGAATAAGAACCGTAGAATTGTTAAATTTTTGTAAGAGAGCATACTTGGGAAATTTATGAATGAGGTTTCAATTTCCAAAATTGTCAAGGCTAGAATATGAATATATATATATATATATAATTATGTTTTTCATAGCAATTAAAGTGATTAAGGGCAATGAATAAATATGTTTCAAAATCATATAATGGTTTTATTTTATGCATCCATCTACAGACATTCTAAGAAGAAAAAAACCCCTAATATCCAAATTATTTTTCTTTCTGAGACACACTGGCTACAAATTGTTGGCTCTCAGGCTTTCTTTCTTTTACATGCCATATATTGATAGTTAGATCATTTATTTTGAAACAGATTGACTGAAAATGCTCCATTTGATGTTGAAATTGTCTTATACCCTAATTATTACTTTCTAATACCTATTTAAAAATATACATTGACTTACAAAAACAAATGTAATTAAATGCATTATCTGAAAACACAGGCAATAGTGTCATCAGGGATGGGTACCTCAGATGGGATTGTGGACCTGCAGCCTGGGAATACATACGTGATTTTTTTTTTTTTCAAAATTAGAGCAAAAGCAGCCAGATGGAAAATAACATGAGGAATTTGAAATGAGTGTTGTTGGAAGGAGTTAAGTTTTCTTCTATGTTCCCAAGAGATTTTGTTTCATTTCATTTAGGGAATCTGTTGGAGATGGTTTCAAGATGTAGAACTCTTGTAAGTGAAGTATCCCAAATGAATTTGGAACATCCACATTGAGACTGCTTCATATTCTGGTAAGATTAAATGATTTTTAATGTGTTGACCTTTAGAGAATGCAATGGGAAATGTGTGTGTGTGTGTGTGTGTGTGTGTGTGTGTGTGTGTGTGGTGTGTAAATAAAAAATTATGAAGGTTTATAACCCAATGCACAAGTTTGAGATTCAAAAACTATTCTTTATTTGTTTTATTTCGCATCCAGTGATCATTTTCTGGCTCCTCCAGAGGAGTGGGATACAATAAGGAATTCAAATTTGTTATTATCAATCTATCACTACGTATATGTACATTATTTGCATTGGTCAGTATGCCAGCACAATGGCCCCAGGAGCAGGTAGTATTGCCCTCACAGTACAGATGTGGAAAATGGAAGTACAGGGAAAGAATAACCTTGTCTAAGATCATGTAGCTTAACTGGCACAAGAGTGACTTTTCTCTCTGCTCTACCTTTTATGCTGTCATGCTGCCCCTAGCATTTGTGCTAGGTGAGGAGCCAAAGAATTAACATTGGTTGAGGGAAAGACCCTCAAATTATAAAATGTAATTTAAAAGAGAGTCATAATTGCCTTCCCTCAGACAGAAAACCAAAGCGAAGGAATTTCCTTTATATTTTTACAACTCTTGAAAGGAGAAAGATTTCTGTAAGTCATTGACAAGTTACATCGATGAGGATGTTTCAAAGAAATGGTAAGTTTTAGAAAAACTGACATAGGAAAATGTGTGCTATAATTTTCCCATTCGCCTTTGCTGTAAAATGAAACTGTAGCAGGCTTCCTGTATATAAATACCGTGTCCTGGCTGATGACACAGTTTAATGGAGTGAGTACTAATTCTTTCTGTATAGCTAACTGGTATACAAGTCAAATAACTTGAGTGTCATTTCACTTTTTGTTACTTATATCATGAGGTTGTTGTAAGATTCCATTGAAATAAGAGATAATAAATGGAAAGCAACTACAGTTCTGCCTGGCACAGTGTGTGTGTGTGTGTGTGTGTGTGTGTGTGTGTGTGTGTGTGTATTCACTAATAAGAAACTTTATCAAAGACCTTATGATGTATTAGATATTAAAATATATCCTTATTTTGTTATCCATCTATCCATGAAGGTTTGTAATTAAAGAAATGTTTATGTGAAAGATTCTCTCCACTCAACATAACATAAAATTAGGCCTTAGTGTATTTTATTCACGTAGAAGACATTTGTTTGGGGCAGTTGCAGATTGCTGGTTGAAAATTTTTGAATTCTGGTGCATTCATTTGTAATGGCAGAATGCAGTCTCTTTTGTTCTAGATACTCAAAAGATCCAATGGATTAGTTGATCTAACTATCCTACCTGAACATTTTCAAACAAATTTCCTCTAGTGATGACAAACCAGATAACCACTGTGTCCCCGTGAGTCAGATTTGCTTGGGTTATTCAATAGTGGCTGACACCTTGGGAGGCTGTAAAGCATTCTCTGGGTGGCCTTCTTGCTTACTGAGTCTTGCTTCTCTAGTGGTAATAATCAGCAGCATTTCTGTGGGAGTAGATACCATGCCTGCAGTTGAAGATTACATTTTAACTCTGTGTCGTGAAATGGAAAAAAAAAAAAAAGCCCATTTTCAATGTGACATTCTGAGAAGCCTTCAACCATCCTCAAGTTCCAGTGTGTATTTTCACTTTTTGATGGTGGAGTAAAAGCCTGTAAAAATAAAGTATGCAATGAAGACATGAGGCTAGAATCTCCAGACAAAGGCTCCCCACCCTCCCTGCCACCAGAGAACCATGGGAAGGGAATCTAGGCCAGTCTAAGACTATTTTCCATTAGTCTGCATTTTGAAAACACCTGCAAAATTGTCCATGTCCCTCCTACGCTGCATTACTTCTCCATTCAAGAGTTTTGCATTTGGATAGAAGCTCCTAAACAAACAGTCCCAAATTTCCACTTTACATTCAGCTTTGGATTGAGTTAAAAAGTTATTGTTGTTTCGTAGACATAGCATGTTTGCCACTTAGGGCCTTGTTTTTCTTTGCTTTTTCTCTGAAGTAATCCTGTATTTGCTTCCTGTCTAAGTCTAAGATACTGAGTTACTTATCCTCTCTTAATCTCGATATTATCATAATGTGAGAATCATAACAGTTACATTACAGACATTTAAGGATTACAAAGAATATGTGTAAATCACTTACTACGTGGAACATTGCTGATGATTGTACATGACATCTATAGATGTACATCTGCCAGTAGGTTTGATAACATGTGAATCCCCCAGATATTCATCAGCAACTTTTTGGGATCTTCCAGAATAAGGACAGAACTGATTCAAAGGATTGGGGTGATTCACAAAAGGTGGAGATGTTAGAGGAAGTCTTACCTTGAACTTAAAACATTTTATTCACTAATTATCAGGCCAAGGAAAACAGACTTTACCTTAGGTTTCTTCCTATTACCTGTGTGGTTGTGTGCCTTTATCATCAGCTTTTTCATATTTGCATTTCTAGACTGATAGTTCTCAGGCTTTAAAGTGTTTACAATAGCCTGAAGAGCTTATTAAGTATATAAGGTACAGGATGTTTTTCTCAGGATCTTATTCCGTAGGACAGGTTGCGAATGGGTCTAAGAATCCACATTTTATACATGATTATTTAGAATAAGAACAATTCTGGAATATGCCATTAAATGAAACTTATAGTTTTTCTTCCTCAAAGCTGTAAGTTTTACACTATCTAATTCTGGTGTATTATTGTTATAGGTTAAATTGAACAACTTCACTAAATAGCAGTTAAGAGAAATAACTAAGAAACAGATATGCTTCAATAAGGATTCTCTGCATTTATTTGTCAATACAGTAACTTTGCAAAGATTTGGATTCCATGAACATATAAGAAATTGATAGAACAAATACTGGATAAACAAACTGACAAACAAACTGCCTTCGTTAATAACAACTGGGGTTCTGATACTTTATTGAAAACCTTCTAATAACCAGTTGCTTTCATGTGCTATTGGTTTATCAGATCTTAATTCCAGTCTTCCTCAGTAGTCAATATCCCCATTGTAGGGGTGCCTGCATGGCTCAGGTGGTTAAGCGTCTGACTCTTGATTTTGGCTCAGGTCATGATTCTCACAGTTTGTGAGTGTGAGCCCGACATCTGGCTCCATATTGTCAGCACAGAGCGTGCTTGGGATTCAATCTCTCCCTCTCTCTCTGCCCCTCCCCTGCTTGTGCTCTCGCGCTCTCTCTAAAAAATAAATAAGTAAGTAAGTAAGCTAGCTAGCTAGCTTAAAAATCCCCATTTGGGGTGGCTGGGTGGCACAGTCGGTTAAACATCTGACCCTTGGTTTCGGCTCAGGTCATGATCTCTCGTTTCATGAGTTTGAGCCCCACATCTGGCTCTGCACTGACAGTGTGGAGCTTGCATGGGGTTCTCTGTGTCTCTTTCTGCTTTCTCTCTCTGTCTCTCTCAAAATGAATAAATAAATCACAAACAAATTTTAAAAATAAAATTAAAAAATCCCCATTCTACAGATTAAGAAAAATAGATTTATATGAGTTACTGCTCATCAAGTTATGAAGTTAAGAAATGTCAGGCCAGGATTCAGTCTGGGCACCATGTCAGTGTGCAACCAGTACAGCTGCTTTGTAATCCTGGGATAATTCAACTTTGCAATCATGAAAGGTTTTTGTTCTGTGGCAGCCAACAGCATAAGCACATATGGGAACAATCAGCCTGTATTTGTTTTGTTTAAGCTCCTGAACACTGAAATTCACCCTCACCTCCTGAGTTAGACTTTGAAAGACAGAAGTAGAGTAGGCTTATTTCGTCTGCTCTGTAAACTACTCAGAAAGAAATTTTCTGAAAAAAAAAGTTTCAAGTATCTTCTTCAAATTCTTGTTGTTTTTCACCAATGTGCTTGTTTGATTTTCACCAATTCTGCTGAGTGTGTGAGTATCCTTTTGAAGTTAAATTGACTGTGAGAGATTTTTCCCAGTTCAATAGCTGAGCATATCACCTTCCTATGAATGAAGTTTCTAGTCTCCTTTGTATCTAGGTTTGGCTGTGTGTCTCAGTTCTAGCCAGTGTAATAAGAGGTACAATAATGTGGCCACTTCCTAGTCATGTCCTTACAGGATGGATGCACATCTTCTCCTCTTTCTTCCTCTAGTGACTTGGAAAATGAATGTCAGATGGGATGTTCTGCTGAACATCTTGTATCATGCAGAGAAGGACAATATCTGAAGGTGGTAGAACAACAACAAAGAAGGAGCCTGGCTTTTTGCTTAATTTATCGAGCAAAACAGTCCAAGATTGCTTCTCTGCTGAACGTTGTGTGAGAAATAAATAAGCTTTACTTGTTTACCCATTGCCATTGAGCCATTCTACATGGTGAAATATATATCCTAATGAATTGATGCATTCTTCTGTACGTGTGTTACCCATTGAATACTTAGCATACTGTGACTCCTTTGGGAGGTCAGTCATAGTCTGAAAATTAGCACAAGGCCCTAAGTAAAGAACGCTGTGGTAGTTACCTAGATATTGTGTGTCTAGACTTTGAACCATCTCACCTTGCCCATCTCATTTCTAACACTGTTTTCCTGACCACCTTCCTCTAGCCTGTTTTTCTTTTAGTTGATCCTCTTCCAGATCAATACATAAGTTTGTTACTTTTTCAACTCTCCTTGCTGTGGCATCTATCTTTCATGCATTCATGGTAAGAAGAAGGCAAATATGAGACCATAGGTATAATGAATTGTGAGAAGAACTTCAGGTCCTGGCCCTGTTTAGAAACATTCAAAGTAAACTTTCCAAAAAACACCACAGGCTGCCCAAATAAAATTTGTCTACAGACTACATGAAGTGGACTTCTTAAATTTCTGATACCTCGATAACAACATCCAAATCCACATAACCAATAAGATATTCTTCTTGTCCCTTGCCTTTCACCCAACCCCTCAGCTGGACTATGCTCATTTGCATACAGGACAAAACAATTTTATTTTTTCATATTTCATATGTCTTCTTGGATCTTT